GAGAGTGTGCGGCAGCCAACGGGGCCTGGGGCAGCCGCTTCCTTCCCAGCCCCTCTGCTGCCCTGGAATTTAATTAAGCATAAAGCAGCGTTAGGGGTGGCTGGGGTAAAGTGGCTTTCCCCAAGTACAGGTCTCTGCTTTTATTTCAGCTACGGCTGGTAAAAATGTCAATTTTGGGCATTTCAAGCTGGCTGGTGGCTGCCTGGTCCCTCACAGCCAGCATAGAAAGGCTCTGGGGGTTCCCGTGCCCTTCCATTGGGGCAGAGACAGCCACCATGGCTCTCATTTGCCAAGGGCATGCAGCCCCCGTGTCCTCCCAGCCTCTCCCCAGTGCTCCAGGACTTGCATCCTGTAGGGCTGCTTATCCCTGTGCTCACCCCTTGGGCATCAGGAGGGTGCCTGAGCTCAAGCCATGGGGATATGGGGGGGTTCTCCGCTCAAGCCATGGGGATTTGGGGGGATTCTCCCATGGCAGCCAGCACCCAGGGGCTGTGACCAACCAAAATATTCCATCAAGTCACCTTCCTGGGTGGAGAAAGGTTCCCCACATCCCTCTGGCCGTGCTGCTCTGTGTCCCCTTGACCCCTGACACCTTTCCTCTGTTCCCCACTAGGCTCAAGTGCCACAACAAATGCACCAAAGAGGCCCCTCCATGTCACCTGCTGATCATCCACCGTGGAGGTAAGGGGCTTTCCCCAGCAGGTAAAACTTTTTAGAAGCCCCCCCAGGCGATTTGGGAGCCCGACCTTCTTCAGGGAGGCTCCCGAACCGCTCGGGCTCCCTGGGAAAATTTTACCCACCGTTTTTTCCGCTTGTAGGGAGACGAGCCGTGCGGGGCGAGGCAGATTTGCATTGCAAACCTCTTCCACCCACCCTTCCCCTGCCTCCTTTTCTTTTCAGATTCCCCACCGCACGGGGTAAGTGCAACAGGTTTTAGCCTTTCGCTACCCGTCGAGAGCTCGGGGACCCGAAATCTCCCGCGGCGCTGGCGGTGCATGGGGGTCCCCCTGAGGATGTTCGTTGGGGGGCTTTTGGAGCTGCCTTACCCCGCTCCGCCCATCCTAAAATCCACAGAGGAGGGAGAACTTTGCAGCAGGACCGACGGGCATCGCTTCCCACCTCTTTTTTTTTCCAGATTTGGGCAGTGCTCCCTGACGGCAGGAGGACTGTGATCGCTTAAGGGAAATGCTGCCGATGGTCGTTGCCTTGAATTTTGAGCTTTCAGAGCTGTTATTCTGTGTTAAATACCACTGACAAAAAAAATTGCACCTTGGTTTAGTCATAGGGAAACAGTTGCTCTGGTGGCACCTCGCAGGGCGAGTGGGGATGCTGTGGCTCAAAGGGGGGCGATTTTGCAGCCTCCACTCCAGCCCCCGTGCCCTTGCTTCTGGCAAATTTGGGTGGAAGGTGCTGAAGACCCCCTCAGTTTTCAGTCTGAGCACCTGCAAACCCTGACCAGGAGGCAGGGAAAGTAGCCCCCCATGCTGCCAGGGGCAGGTGGGCTCCTGGAATGGGCAGAAATTGGGGATTACAGCTGCAGACTGTGATGCTGCAAGAGCAGGAGCTGCCCGCTGTGTGTTTTAGCTTTGGAGTGGCCTCAGCATCGGTGAAATAGCTCCCCCCAAAAGCTCTTAAATGCTTTGCCCCACAGCTGAACCTGTTCCCAAGTCCCCTGGGCTGCAAGCTGCCTTTCCCCCCCAAAAAAATCTCTCTGCCAAGAGCCAGGGTGCTCTGAGCCAGCTCCTTCCCCCCTGCCCCAAAAAGTTGTGGCAAGGATGAGGACGGTGCCTCCTCCTGATACTGGCTGACCCCCCCCAGCTCATGGGGTGGCTGTGGTGGATTGCAAGGGGATTGAATTGCAGTTCTCCTCTCAGTGTGGGGAGAATGGGGCAGTTTGCATCCCAGCACAAGGGCTTTAAGGCCCCCATGTCCCCGGGGGGTTTGGCTGTAGCCTGGGGGCAGGGGGGGAGCCTGCAGGCTGAGGGCCCCCCCAGGAC